GTAGTTGAATGCTCACATTTCACTGTGATTCTTTCTCTCTTCCCTTCCAAGGATTTTCCTCCTTCAGCAGTATCGATGGGAGCCAAGCCGCCATACTGCCCGCTGAAGATCCCCCGCCGTATTCCCCAATGGCGTCACCGGAGAGCGGCAATGCTCCTATGATCACTTGCCGAGTCTGCCAGAGCCCCATCAACGTGGAGGGAAAGATGCATCAGCACGTGGTGAAATGTAGCGTTTGCAATGAGGCCACGGTGAGCATGGTCAGAGTGGGACATGGGAGGCACCGTGGAAAGATGTAAAGGCAAGACGCAGCTGGGTGGAATGTAAGATGTGGAATATCTGCCTGCCATAGAAGACTTGCATATTGCGCAGGTCAGAAGGGGGGGCTGAGAAGATATTGGCTGAATCCCTCCCATTCTAGACATAAATTTTCAATTCCTTACCTTGGGACGGCACTATAGGGCCATGATGGCGAATCTATGGCATGTGTGCCAGAGGTGGCATGCTTAGCCCTCTCTGGGCATGCATGCCATCACCAGCTTCTCTTCTGGTTTCCAGCACACCAGCCACCTGGTCTTTGGCGGAGCACCGAAAAATGGCCTGAAAACAGCCAAAAACCAAATAGTTTTTGGGGCCATTTTCCATGCTGCTTTTTGGGCCGAAAATGGCATGGAAAACAACCTGAAAACATGCGTGCATGTGCCAGCCAGCTGGTCTTCAGGTTTTCAGTGATCCAGCACACGGACATGTACACACAGGCGTGTTCTGGTTTGGGCCCTCGGTCCCCAAAAGGTTTGCCATCACTGCTATAAGGCAATGTATGCCAAGACAAACTAGTCACGGGCAGTTTCTTTCCTTGTGCTATCACTATAGCTGAACACCTAATTCTCACAGTTGACAAAATACAGTGACTAAGGGATTTTTTTTTTGGCCTAATGTGTATCTACATCAATCCATAGGATGTGGCTGCAGTATTATTTATCCCCTTTATTATTTCTTACTTCCTCCTTTCGTCAGTTGTACACTTTAATATTGTTACAGTCTACTGTTTTGGAAGTGACCCCGAGTGCTTCTGCACCGGAGATAAACTCCGTGTATGTCTAACCACACTTGGCCAAATGAAAGCACAAGTACATGTAAAGGAAGATGAGTTGACCTGTGAACCCCAGATGGAAAGCTGGAGACAAAGCGGTGCTTCTCAGGGTCACTTCCCCCGCTTCAGCTCAATTCCACAATTGGGCAGAACTCCTGGCCTCCTGCCAGTTGCTAAGCTAGTCAAAGACAAAAGGAGGCTTATATTTCTGTAGTTCTTGCCAGTTGTTTCAAATATGTAGGGCTTTTTTTTTTTTAACATAGCGAGGATGATTGCCTTAAAAACACACACACACACCCCTTGGAAAAGAGTAAGCCACAACTGCAAATCTGCTGACATGGCTTGCGGCTGGAGTACTTGTGTTAGCTTTCAGGCAGAGTCTTCAGTCCCTTGAGAGCTGTTGGCGCTCAAGTCAGCATAGTCAATACTCAGCAAACTGGATCTGTGGCCTGACTCTGCACAACGCCATTTGTTAAAAGGATTCCTTTTTTTTTCTTCGTTTTATGTTTCCTCCTCAGAGGATTATATTTGTGTTCTCCTTTAGCTGGGATTATTTATTGTAGTGTGCTGTTTTATTGGGTTGATTTGGTTGTTGTTTTTCAAAAAGTTTTTTAATTTTTAGTCTCTTACATACAAATTACAAGTATAGCATTCACCTAGTTATTATTCTTATTGTATTTATCGCCTTTACATATTTATTTTCCATAAAAAAGTATACATTCGAGGTTGCTTTGCTTACCATCCCATACACCTATTTGCAATATCACCACTCTGCTTTCCCTTCCTTTTCTCCCTCCCTCCCTTCTCTACTTCCTTCCTCCCTCCTCTCTTTATCCTTTCCCCTTACCTCTCCCTTACCTCTCTTCCCCTTCCTACCCTTTCTCCTTCTCTTTTTATTCCTCCCCACCATCCTCTCCTTTTGATTTGGTGGTGAAGGTATTGTTCATCTCAACTCATTTGAACTAGGCTCATATGGAAGTTTTTATGGTGCCTTTCTTTACATTAGAGGTTCGGTTGGAAGAGGGTTTTTTTTTAAAGAAATTCCTGAAATTTGGCCTGTACATTATCTCAGTGGACAATGTGTAGGTTCTTGTTTATTTGGCTGAGAAAAAAAAACAACTGGAGCTTTTATTTTTCCTTTGCCTTAATTTCTCTTCTCCTGGCATTATTAAAAGTTGAAGTCTTTCAGTGAAATTGACTGACAGGAAATTCGAAATGAATGTAACACATTTTTTGCATACTACACAATTAATTTATGCTCCTGGACGGAATGTGCTTGTTACTCATTTAGTTACAAATAAATACACCAATTATATAGCAGGAATTTATCCACGAGGAGAGGTTTATTTGTAACTATTTAAATGAGTAACAAGGTGAGAAGAAGTGCTGGGTAGAACCAACAATAGGAAACTTATGCAACATTACAAGTAGTCCTTAACTGCTTCCCCCTCCCCCATCCAATCAGATTGAAGCAAGATGTTTTCAGTAGGTTGGTATGCAGGTGTGTTCCTTCCAGCCTTGTGACTTTGAAGTAGCATCTCAGGGAGATAACAGCAGTTAAAACTTTCACTTTCGCCCATCCACCCTCCAAGGAGTTCATGGCAAATGGTCATAGTATCAAAGTACACAAGAAACCGTGAGGTGGCAGCTAACACCACCCCTCCCCTCTCACCTTGTAGGTCTCACTTGTGGCTTTGCTAAAACTATCCTGCCTTAAAGACTTATCAGGACAATGTAGAACACTTCAGGCACAAAATATTCTGTGGAAGAAAAGGCTTCCTCTAAAACTGGGAACTTGTCGTAGAGCTCATTTCCTATTCAGGTTTCTTTTCTGCTCCTGGTTTCTCAGTCTTCTGAAAATATAAACCTGAAAATTGGCGTTGCCAGTCTGCAACATCTTCAGTTCCTGCAGCTGCAGATAGCACAAAACTGAAAGTCTAAACAGTTGCTCAGGTCCCCTCAATAATTTAAAATCCAATTCAATGGTTTCGTCGAGCGCGCTTTAGTCGACCGCGGTTTTGTGGTGGAACCGATAAAGATAAGATAAAAAGCCTTCCGAACAAGCTTAAGTGGGAGGCGAAAGGGAAAAAACATCAGAGTGAAATTCAGGATAATATTCTCTCAAACAAATCCAACTATTGAATTGGATTTTAAATTATTGAGGGGACCTGAGCAACTGTTTAGACTTTCAGTTTTGTGCTATCTACAGCTGCAGGAACTGGGTTCCACCACAAAACCGCGGTCGACTAAAGCGCACTCGACGAAACCGCGTACCTGATGTCATCACAGCGCGACGAAAAAAGCATGCTGTGAGCGCTAAAGCTAAAATTAACACCTAAACCTAACCCCCCGAAACCTAATCCTAAACCTAACCCTAAACTTAACCTAATGCTAATGCTAACCCTTACCCTAACCCTAACGCTTAACCTAACCCTAACCCTAACCCTAACCCTTACCTTAACGTGAATCGGCTTGCTTTCAAAGCGCTTTTTAAAGCGCCCTTTTTTTTCCGCGGTCGCTGTTGTCGCGCTGCTGATGACGTCAGCAACGCGCTTTAATCGGGCGCGCTTTAGTGGACCGCGGTTTTGTTGTGCCACGATCTTTATCATGGATAGAGAGAAGCTTAAAAAAAAAAAAATTCCTTTGGACTTCAGATTTGCTAGGTGTTCAAGGTACACTTATCAATTGTGCCTTATCTTTTGCCCCAGCCCTGCCCAGAGTTACCTTTGACATAATGAATTTACCTAAGATTGCAATGAAAATTAAACAGAAGGACCTTGCCCTTTCCACGTTGTCATTCTTCCCTTCTGCTTTTATGTATTTTTTTTTTCTTGGTGTAAAATAGGTGTCTTCTGAATGTCACATTTTTGTTAACCATCTTTCCTGGAAATATACACTTTGTCCAAGGTTAGGCTTAACTAGCCTGACTTTTCTTATTCAGATTAGCAGTAGCTCAGCTTCTTGAGCATAAGTCTAGTGCCTAATAACTAACGAAAGCTATGAAAAATAAAGATAACACATAAATTCTCGTGTAGACAAAAGTACATTTGTTACTTACGGTACTTGCAACTGAATTTTGATAGGATGTCTTGTGCTTTCTTCAGGGGGGGGGGGAATCACAAATTAGTTTCTAGACTGTTTTCCAAATTCAGCCAAAACATTTAAACCTGTTGTCCACTGCGCCTGTTGGCTACCTGTGTATTTTTTTAATTCAGTTTAAATATTTACAGATACATTGTGATGAATGAGAGTGGTCACTAGTAATCTTGGTTCAATGCCTGACAGATGGATTGGATTCTTTGCCCTTTTGTGAACCTCTTTCTTCTTAAACCAGGAAACGTGCTCAACTTGTTTAACTTTCAAAAATGTCCTTTTTTTCCTTCTGCAGCCGATTAAAAATGCCCCACCTGGTAAGAAGTATGTCAGATGCCCTTGCAACTGTCTTTTGATCTGCAAAGTGACCTCACAGCGCATCGCTTGTCCGCGGATATATTGGTAAGGGGTGGGGATGGGAACTATGTAGTTATGTTCTTCAGTATGTTTTAATATTGGATCAAAAACAGCTTTGTAAACATTCTTACTCTATATATAACATTTTATGGGGGAAACAGAAGCAAGAAGAGGAAAACAATCACAAAGGAAATAAGAGATATTTATTTCTAATTGTTAATTCAACATATTTGTATGCTGCCATAATCACAAATTACTCTTGGTGGCTGACATAAATATAAAGCTAGTTAAATTAAGTATAGGTTCTCTGAATAATGAATTGACTTCTATACATTTAAATAATTTATGCCATTTTAAAACTACAGATCATTATTAAAATCAAGTAAATATATTAGTATCAACAACAGTCATGACATAGAGTATAACATAAAATGAAAAAAATTAGTCTTACCTAATCACTAAGAAATGTATATCCTTATTTAACAAATCATGACATAAATGTTAAAAAGTTATATGTCCCTAATTTCAGATGTAGAGCAAAACCATGGCTAGAATTATAGTCCAAAAATTGTCAACTGTCCAGAGTCATTGAATTGGAAGAACCCTTGAAGGTCTTCTAGTCTAACCCCGGTGCTCAAGTAGGAGACACTATACTGTTCTGGGCAGTATTTTTCAACCTTCCTTGGCAACTTGAGGATGTAAGGACTTCAGCTCCTAGAATTCCCTAACCAGGGTATCTGGGAGTTGAAAGCCACACATCTTCAAGTTGCCAAGGTTGAACAACATTGCTCCAAGGGCTGAAGTTGAGTACCTTTAGAATACAGAATAACAGAGTTGGAAGGGACCTTGGAGGTCTTCCAGTCCAACTCCCTGCTCAACCAAGAGACCACAGAGATGAGCATCCTGTAAAAATTGAATAAATAAAAAAATAAATAAATAATGGTTGCCATACAAAATTATAAGCCAGATTTATTTTCCAAATGCAAGGTAATTATTTGCATTCTTCTACTGAAGGAATTGTACATTACTTTCCAATTTCAAATGCAGACCATCCTAGCAGCTGCACACATATATAAAGATATTTTACTAAATATTGTAAAAATATAAGGTTTAACAATATTCAATAGAAGGTAGGCAGGTTGGGAAGAGAAGTAGCAGAATGTACAGATACCTTGCATTTAGAAAAAAACAACCTGGCTTACAGTTTTGTACGGCAATCATTTTTCATTTATTTGTATTTATTCAATTTCTATAGGATGCTCATCTCAATGGTGGTCTGCTTGAGCAGGGAGTTGAACTAAAAGACCTCCAAGGTCCCTTCCAACTCCGTTATTCTGTATTTGAAAGGCACCCAATTCAAAAAGTGGGTTTCTTCACACCAATATAAATACAGCACTTTACCAAAACTATTCGGCTTAACAATCTATGCCAAACATGGAAGAACACATCAAAGTTTTGCACTTGTTAACAAAAGGCTAATTTCTTCATGAGTGCAAAACATTGATGTGTTTGGAGAAAAGTGGGCTGTGTGAGAGATTTAGTGTCAGGTTTCCAAGTGATGAAACCCATTCAAAAAAGAAATACGCAAAGTCCATCTTCGAAAACAAATTTCTTTTATTTAGGTAGACATCAACTTGGCAAAGTCTGTTCTAATTCCGGACCTGACACAAACCAGAATTACACCACATAATATTGTAAGTTAGAAACATCCCTCAAAAGTCACCTTCTCCAATAAACACTCCATCCACATTGCCCGGTGTCTTCAAACTCCTCCTTCCGTTCTCAGCAGGAGCAGCCTCTGTTCCCACGGGAAAGAAGCTCACCTAGCCAAAACAATCCTCACTATCTATTTGCTCCTTCCCTCCACTTTAAGTATGTGGCAAGCCCGAAAAAAAACCCTTGGTAAAGAGAAAGAAAAAGGAATAAATGAGTATAATAGAGAGCTAAATAAAATGGCTACATGTAGGTCAAATTCAGGCTCGACAGATCCTTCAACTGAAAAGAAAGTCCTGCAATGACAGAGAACACATAAAGATTGCAATTAGGTTAAAAATTAAAAAAAAACATACACATATAAAACTAACTGCCCCTGCCATCTGCAAGATCCCCTTTGGGTTTGTGTGGATACATTTCTTGGAACCTCTGAAGCAATCTATTAGCATTGACTTTTTACCCAGGTGGCTTCCGAAATGGGATACCCCTTCCAATGAATTAAACATTGAAGTTGCCCTCTGTAAATTCTTGAATCCAACACCGAGTATAATAGAGAGCTTTAAAAAATGGCTAGACGTGTGTCAAATTTGGGCTCGGCGTTTAGGTCTTTTCAATCCTGAAATCTTTTTAGCAAGGTGGGAAGGAATAGCATTTTGGGGAGGTGATGTGATCCAATAATGTGGGTAAGATTCCATTTTTCAAAGAAAGAACTAGAAAGCAAAGATACAGATTGGAGTAATCAAGCTAAAACTGTGGCATTTTTAGAGAGAGAGAGAAAAAAATTTTTGAGGTGAGAGAAGAAAAGGGGGATTCTCCCTCTGTCTTCACAGTTTGACCCTGTGTTTTTTTTTGTTGTTGTTGTTATTGTTCCTGGAAGAGGGTGTTTATGTTTAGAGAATAAAAGCAGCGATTGCCCTGATGAAACCAGAGAGACTAGTTGACGTCAACTTTATTCTCCATGATGAGTTTCACTGGCTTGGAAATAGGTGTTCGGTGGGGCCAGGTGGACTGACAAGAAGAATAATCTAAACCTCTTTTCTCCCCTCTGTTTTCTCCCTAGTAAAAGGGTCATAAACTTAGGGCCCGTTCACCCTGGCCCTCCGAGTCCCGAGCCTCAGCCTGTAGGTGTGCGTGTCAATTGCGGCCACTGCGAAAATAATTTCCTGGTAAGGGTGCTGTGGAGGAAGGGATCAGGGAAGGAAAAAATGAGGCGTATTTGTTCCAGGCTCAGCTTTGGTTGCGTTTGGGAACCTGTTATCGGAAGAAAATTACAAACTTACGAACTCTGATTTGAGTCTCGTTTGTTAAGTGAATCCCTTTAGTTGTTAAATTGGTAACACGATTATTAAGTGAATCCGACCTCCCCATGGACTTTGCTTATCAAAAGGTCGCAAAAGGGGATCACATGACACTGGGACACTGCAGCCGTCATAAATAGGAACTAGTCGTCAACCATCCGAATTCTGATCACATGACCATGGGGATGCCGCAATGGCCATAAGTGTGAAAAATGATCATGCCATTTTTCCCCCACTGTTGGTATAACTGCCAACGGTCACTAAATGAACTGTTGTAAGTTGAGGATGGCTGCAATTGTTCAGTGGTTAGAGTATGAGGAGCCAGATTGTTGGGAGCAATAGGCTGACTCTGTAAGCCGCTTAGAGAGAGCTGTGAAGTGATATATAAGTCTAGGTGCTATTGCTATGAGCCACAGTGACACGGTGGTTAGAGTGCAGTACTGCAGGCTATTTCTGCTAACTGCTGGCTGACTGCAGTTTGGCTGTTCAAATCTCATCAGGCTCAAGGTTGACTCAGCCTTCCATCCTTCCGAGGTCAGTAAAATAAGGACCCAAATTGTTGGGGACAATATGCTGACTCTGTAAACTGCTTAGAGGGAACTGTAAAGCCCGGTGAAGCGGTATATAAGTCTAAATGCTATTGCTATTTGGAGGAGCAGCTTAGTGCGCCTCCTTAAAGAATGAGCCTATTTGCGGTGGCAAAACGTGACTTGTCATGTCAGGCTGTCCTTCCCAAGGCCTTCTCTCTTTTTTGTCTCTCCAGTGGACAGAATTCACAGATCGCACTTTAGCCCGATGCCCGCACTGCCGTAAAGTGTGAGTTATTCTGGGGAAGGAATTGGGCGAGGAGGAGGAGGAGAAGCATTAGCAGAATGTTCTCCAAGCTTTGCATTGAATGTACCTCGATATTAGTAATTGGAATGGGGGAGGGAACTTGCTGTTTGTGGGGTTCAGCTTCAAAGAGAGCGAGGAACCTGAGTCCCCATCTCCCTCCCTCCCCTTAGCTGGAGAAGAGGTCTTTTACTTGTCCTTAGGGAAGGGGTTGTGGCTGCCAGCAGAGCTGCCAACAGAATAGGCAGCAGATTCAGACAGTGGGGAGGTTGGGGAGGGACATGGGCCAGTCCTGGAGTCTGGGGAAGGCTCTGATGAGGGCTCTATGTCGGAGGTAGAGATGGGGCCAGGGTGGTCTGACAGTTATCATCTGTCTTTGGAGTCGGACATCAGTAGGGCAGAAGAACAGCTGGAGCCTGTTCCCAGTGTGCGCATGCCCAGAGTTGCCAGACGAAGGGAACAGCTAAAGAACAGGGGTCGACTTGTGAGTAAGGCCACAGGTGGAGGATGAATGGCCCCACCCAGAAGAAATAAAAGAGGAACAAAAGGGGAGTGGAGTTTTCAGGAGACAATTAGTTCACTTAATTGGTTCCTGTCTCTGCTGGATGTGAATGAGCAGAATTCACAGTAAATTAATAAAGAGGGCTTTTCTCAGGACAAGGAGTCTGCTTCATGCTCTCGGAAAGCCTTGGTCAGAACACAAGAGAAGCCTCAGTCAGAACTCGGTGGTCAGAGCTCCAAATTACGGGAGGGGAGAGGAACTTTGTAGGAGTGACTCTGGATGCTTGACTTACTGCTCTCTTTGTACCCCCAGTTCTTCCATTGGGCGCCGCTATCCGAGGAAAAGGTGCTTATGCTGCCTTCTCTTGGGCATGCTGATGGCTGTGACAGCAACGGGGTTGGCGGTAAGTGTGAACGAGGGGCATCTAGTTAGGGTTGGGGGTGGCACCTGTTGGGGTCTCAAAAGGATGAGATTAGGATGGGACCATTAAAGACGGCCATGTCTGTTGATACCTGGAAATCCCAGGTCTTTGGGATGAGAAGGTTAAAAAAATTGGAAGAACATAAGAGACAAACTCCATTGGTTTTCAGCCAAGGAACATAACAGAATGTGTCCAAAGTCACATTCTTGACTTCAGGCCACTTTTTCCCTTAGCAGGGAGGCGACTGAACATGCCACTCAACATCCGAAATCAATATACTAAATGGAGTTTGCTCAGAAGCTGAAATACACCATGTAAGCAAAGTGGAAAGAGTGGAAGAGAGAGAAAGGGGGAGTAAAGGACGGA